AATTAATTAATGAGTTGATTCCCAATAAATGATAGTCGTTGATTGGCGGAAATCAACGGTTAGGATTTGGTGTCAAATTTCAAAGTTTGATACCGGTGTCAAAATGTCCTGCCCCTATATATATATATATATATTAGAGAATAATATAAACCTTTAAAAGGATCTCACCCAATACCTTCAGGTTTTGGCTTGAAGGTGTTCTTTACTTGGTATCTGAGTTTTAGTGATTATAAGTTTACGAATTCGATCCTCATTACCCCTTCACTTGTGGAATTAAATAAGCATAAGGTAAAAAAAATTGGGCCTGTGTAATATCCACAGTTCAAGCCCAAAGGGCTCTTAAGTGAGGAGATGTATTAGAGAACAATATAAACTATTAAATAAGCCCTCACCTAACACCTTAATGTTTTGGGTTGAAGTGGTTATTTACTGTATAAGAATTTCTTATATTATAGGATAAATCATGTTTTCCCATAAGATTGAAAAGTCATCTTCATAAAGACTACTTCTCATCGTTACAAACTTATTTAAATAAAAGATTAAATAATACATTTTGAAATTGTAAGAACCCACACCGTTAATTAAGGAAAATAATTAATTAAATGCGTGAAATTAGGAAATAATTCCATAATTGACCTTAATAATTATGAGAAGGCTTATATAAATATAGAAAGTGATTAAGAATGCTGAAAGTCATTTTTCTGACGAAAAGTGCAGATACCGGTTCTGTTAGTCGGTATAAATGCGTATCCAAAAAGTATCCCGGAAAATTATAATAAGTGCATGATAATTCCTAGAATAATATATAGGACTTGTAAAACGAGTTTCAAGTTAAAATAATGAGAACTGGTGCCAAAAACTGATACTGGCTATGAAAAGCGCGTACCGGAAAGGTGCTCCGAAAAATATTATAAAAATATGATAAATCTTAGAAAAATGAGTAGGTTAAGAATCCTGAGTTTGGCATTAATATGCTAAGTGTAACAATTAAAGTTAATATTGTGTGTTTAATTCATAAGTGGCTTATATAAGGCCATGTCACATGATCCTAGGTCATTTTTATGACTTGCTACGTGAGAAATTCTGAGTTACAACCAGCCACCTTGCCACCACCTCTCCTCCACCTCTTGTGAGCCAAGTTGTCACCTTTCTTCTTCTAAACACTTGGTGTGAGTGAGAATCATCATGGGGAATGAGTTGTGACCTTGTTGTGGAGTGGAGTTTCTGTTTTAAAGGGGTTCTTTGGGCTGTGTTCTGAGTTTCCTTGGTTGGAGTCTTGTTCTTGGCTTGTGAAGTTTCAAGAAGCTTCCTTTGTGTAGAAAGGGCCAAGCTTTGGTTGGCATTTTAGTTTCCTTTGCAAGTCAGATTGTAAGAGTGGAAGTGTGAGCTCCAAGAGCACCTTCTTGCTCTGTTTTGAGCTTGGGTAAGTGTCACCAACCTTGATAATGAGTTTAATGGGTTAAAGTTAATGTCTTGGTATGTTTAATGAGTTAAAAAAGTAACCAACTGTTGTATGAACCTAAAACAGAATAAAAATGCATGCTTTGACGTTTTAAAGTGTTAAAAATGGTACCTTGGATGGATATCTTCGCGAATGCAGAAGCTGCTGTCTGTCGCGAAATATCCGAATATGTGTATCTTTTGATATCCGGATATGATATCCGGATATTGATATCCAGATATGTCCCCGACATATATCCGGATATTGATATCCAGATATGTCCCCGACATATATCCGGATATTCTGGAATTTCAGAGAACAGTAGCTACATTGTTCACGCAGTAGGCTATTGGGGGTTTGTGGACCCTAGATTGATGAAGTTGAACTTCTGTAATAATTGAACTAAGCCAGAATCAAGTGATTAAGGGCTTGTGGCTTTGTGTGAAGCCTTAAGACGTAAAACGTAAAGTAAAGGCGTTGTCTTTATATTGTATGCTTGTAGAGTATGAGTATTGATATATTATTGAAACATAACAGATTGTGAATCTGCTGTGTTTTGGTCTTTGAGCTTGTGTGGACTCTGGGTTTGGATAGCTAGCTTACAAGGTAAGCTTTCGTGTCCTCGGATTAGTCTGTGTTTGTTCCACCGACCTCCGTGGGAGGGTGGTTTATATGCATGGTATGCTTTTATGAAAGATGAAATATGCATTGATATATGCCTGAGCTGTATTAAATTAATTGTTGACTACTTGCACAATCAGACAGCGACTCTGGTGTGTAAGACATGTAGTGTATGAAAATGATGTTGTCACTTACACGATCAAACAGCGACTCTGGTGTGTAAGGCATAAGACTGCGACTCTTATGTTTAGATGGGTCGCAGACGTGCATAATCCCTATCTTGTTCCCTGGCCAGTCGAACCGCATCTACATACATGACATGATTAATGAGTTATAGTATTTATCTCGTTGAGCAATGGATTATACTGTCATGATATATATGCCTTAACATGAACATGCATTGAAATTACCATTTTTGAACTTATATTATACTTGTAAGTGAGCTTGGGGCGAAAGAGTCCTTGAGGACCCCTTCTCTTACTGAGATTTCTTTTTAGAGATCTCACCCCACGTTTGGGGCACACATTTCAGGTTTAGGTAATGCGGGGGTTGAGACCTCTAGCGGCAGGAGGCTGGAGCTGAGTTAGATGTATGCTGTTATGAATATATGCAGGATGTTGTTATGCTATCTTTATGATTATGTTGTTATTGTTGAGACTGTTGTTGGGCCTTGTTGCCTTATTTGGTGAGCATGGGGATTTTCCATGCCACATTGGACTGTGTTGTTGATTAGATTTGGGTTGTATAAACTATTAGGGTTGTCTGGCTTACGTGTAGTAGTGCCGTGACTAGAGACTCAATTAATGATCTTAATTATGTTATGAGGTTATTTCAGTATAGATGTCTGTCTTTTGCATTTACATACAGACAATGTTTTGGAAATGAATTAAGTAATTCAACTTGGTAAGAATAATGACGTCATAATTGAAAAGAAAAAGAATATTCCGCATTTTAAATTAAGCGTGGCTTAATACGATGACATGTTAACAAACCGGGTTAACACGGGGTGTTACAGAAATCACCACAAAAGATTAAAAGCCCGAATTGAGTTCTTATGACAAGGGAAATAGTGCTTTACAATGTTGCTTCTGAAAATAAGAGAAATGGAAGAAGTAGAGGTTGCCCCAAAAATAATGATTAGATGGGTGAAACGATTCGCGCATTTAATGCATACGAAATGCGAAGACGACATATGTTGGCAACAGCACGCTAGCAAGAACAAAAGTCACCATGTGTAAAGATCGCATCATTATTTGAATAAGTGTAAAGCTCTTATCTCGGAATCATGGTTTTGTAAATAGCCAAGAACTGAGAATTAACTCGGTTCATATAGAATCTAAACATATGAAATTATGTGGAGAATAATAACCGGGTTCCGAGAAAGACACTTGTTTGCATATCCAATAACGATAAGCCTTATAAGGGGTAGTTGAACAGGGATTTCAAAAGAAGGTTGAACCTGGTGGCAATTAGTCATAAAAAAGTGAAGATAATCCAAGGCTAACCGCAACTTGGATTGAATCAATATAAATCATATCTTGGCAATTTGAAAGTTCAATTTGCTAAGATACAAGACAGATACATTATCCCTATGAATAAGTGTAACAAACCTGGACACTCCCAAATGGGAATCCTGGTAAGTATGAACGCAAACCCGGATACTTCTAGAGTGAAAAATTCGGACAATTTCTCATGAAACTCGAACATGCATAGAAACTGTAGAAATCCAAATAATCTTTAAAGTTATATGTACCCCGGCAGGACGGACACCCAAACTGCCTGGCAAAGAGACAACTGTTATGGACTCATATGTGAGGCTCATTTGTTATAAGGCCCAATAAGGGGCAATTCAAATTTAAATCTAATATAATTAAAGGAAGATATTCATCAAAGATATTAATCGTAATACGACAGCATCAAACATAGGCTTGGACTGCTAGAAGAGGCACGGAAGGTCCAGAATCCTAATACCCACAGGTAAACTCTATAAATAAGAGGTAAAGCCTATAGGTATGACTATTCTCTCTCTTTACTGTTATGTTGTCTCTGTTCACACACATCACCCATTTGGCGAAAGCTGTATTTATTCCTTTGTGCACAGTGATCTTCTAAACTCAAGGGTATCTAACTCATAGATATCTTAGAGAGCACATAGATCCAAAAGAAACTTACTAGCCTATTGGGCTAGACATCTTTGTCTTCAGGACAGAACACATGGTACCAAAGCTTCAGTGACCATAAGGTCACGAATTCGATCCTTACCGCCCCCAACTTGTGGAATTAAATAAGCATAAGATAAAAATAAAAATAAAAAATTAGCTTATGCAATATCCACGTTTCAAGCCCAAATGGCTCTTACATAAGACGGTGTGTTAGAGAATAATATAAATCACTAAAAAGACCTTCACCCAATACCTTAAGATTTTGAGTTGAAGTGGTTCTTTACAATATAAGAATTTCTTATATTATAGGAGAAATAGCGTTTTCCCCCAAGATTGAAAAGTCATCTTCATAAAGACTACTTCTCATCGTTATAAACTTAGTTAAACAAAAGATTAAAAAATACATTTCGAAATCACCACAAAAAGATTAAAAGCCCGAATTGAGTTCTTCTGACAAGGCAAATAATGCTTCACAATGTTGCTTCTGAGAATAAGAGGAATGGAAAAAACAGAGGTTGGTCATCAATTCAAATTTTATTTAATATTTGTTTATTTGAGTAAAACAACTTTTTCAAACCCATACATACACACCTTATGAATGATGTTAACCCACTTAGGGGTATTGCATGAAGATCATCATCCCACTCGGGGTTCTATGGTCTCATATCAAAGACTCATATTACAACCTGCTAAAAAGACAAATAAATACAAGACTCATTACTTAACATATTTAAAACAACCCGTTACATTACTGGAGTTTTTAATTATTTCTCTGTTCATGCGATGGGAATGGACTGAATAAGTAACGATAGTATGCGACTCTTGATTTCAGGATCTTGAATAGAGTGGCCATCGCCATTCTGGTACATGTAAATTGCCATTCTTGCAAGGTTTATAGCTGTCTCTATGAAACTTCTTGAGAAAGAACAACTACGAGCTTCCTCATTCATCTTCTTCCACGTTGTACACATAACGGATGATACATACTCACGTGCATCTCCTTCAGAATCTCCACTTTCATTCATGTAGCATTCAATTGACTTAGGAACATCTCCTGTCTCATTTTCTCGCTAAAATTGAAAAGAGCAAAAGGATTAGTGAAAAAGAAAAAGAAAAAGAAAAGAAAGTTTAGAAAAGAACTAAGATTGAATTGGTACTTTATACGTTCCGAGGTCATTAGCAAGGCGTAAAATCATTGCTGAGAATCGAATTATGTCGGAATATTCTTCTAAATTAACTAATTCCTCCTTTTTGAATGAATGTGGAATTGCAAAGTAAGCATGAACTAGTATAACAGGGGCACTTATGGAAATCCACGCATTTTCTATGTATTCTCCAAAGCTTGGCTTGTATCCACTGTGGTACCACTTTGCTTCAATCAAATATGATTTACATATATCTGTCCACTGGAAATTTTATAAGTCAAATGAGTTCACAATACTCTTTATTATTTAAGTACAATACAATATTCTATGCTTCCAAATTTATGCCAAGTTGAGAGAATAAAGCAAATAACTAACTGCTTACGGCTTTCTTTAGGTATGGAGTGATGTGGTACCCATTCTTTTCTTGGGTTTCTAAAGCCATTTCATCGACAAAGTTGTAGAGTGTATGGAAGCATATTTTCATGTAGTCTGGGAGGCTATCCATGGCATTTAGATCCCATCTAGAATTACAAACAAATATTTATAATTATTCGTTAATGATGCAAAATTTTGTATAAGACGGGAAAAAAGTTGCCAACAAAAATAGACACAGTTGGCTAAGAGTATGATGAGTGATATGTAATTTTTCCTGAAATTTTTTAAAAGATTGGAGAATCTTTCTTGACTCTAGTGGGATATTGGTATCTAATCCCACTTAAAAAAATTTCATTTACTGATATGGGGAAAAAGTTATTACGGAGGAGCAATAATTGTAACCTGTCAATTGCTTCTGTGAAGAGCTCTAGTTCTTCCAAGGTACCATAGACATCATAAACATCATCAATTGTGGTTATTAGGGCATTGACCTTTGTTATGACTCTTCTGAAATTTTCAAAATCTGGCTTAAAATTTGTTCCCACGGTCCAAATGAAATTCTCTACCAACCTGTCCCTGCTAAAACTCAACTTTTCTGCAATGCTAGTTCCTTTCCACCACCTTAAAAACGGACAAAAATTTAGAGAATTAGTACATGGCTTGTATTCCCAAAATCAATAGAAGGAACTATTAATTGAATCAAAACAGCATATTGTACTTAATTTTCATCAAGCAAATTTTAATTGAAATTTCTCAAAGCATGTAATTACTGCCTTCACCTTGATGTATACTTAAGTTCTTCTTGGTAGATTGCTTGAAGAATGTTGAAATCCAATTTAGCTAAGTGAAGTAAAGCAGGACTCATGTTCTGCTTTCTTTCATATGCATTGATGAACCATTGAGACTCCCACCTTGGAATTCTCCAATGTATTGGAAGCTCCAAAGCATGACCAATTACAAGTGATAAGTGGTTACCTCTTTTTTGGTTCAAATATTCTTTTAGAATTTGAGAGGTGAAATTACGTGCCTCATCCAAGATGGTTTCATCTTCGAATGAATGAAATGAGGCTTCATAAAGTGATAACATTCCCTCAATATCATCATACTGACATTTCTTGAAATTACCCGTTTCATCATGAAAGCAATCAAAAACATCTGCAACAACAACAAATAATATTACATATATATATATATATATATATATATATGACACACAGACACATGCACATTAGAACGTGTGACTATCTCAACCTATATAAATATTTCTAAGTTAAATCTTAGAAACCTGTAGATATATCATAAGCATGTTGCCTTAAGAGTCTGAACTCGAGTGCTGTGGCATTTAAACTCTTCTTCCTATTGGATGTATCCATATTGTAAATATTGTCCAATATGTTCCTTATCTCATTGTCAAAATGATAAGCCACTCCAAGCCTTTGAAATACATCAATAAGCTCAAGTTGATCAAACTCATTTTCTGCTTTGCAAAGCATCATTCTTACTTCTTCCTTTAGCACTCTACTTTGCTCTGCGAACACTTCTTCCTGCATTTATTTAAAAAAAATCACATATAAGTTACGTTAGATATATTAATAATATAATTGAATAATATATTCATATACAAACTTAATAGATAAAAATATGGTTATTTGAATCCATATGGATTGGAACTCAATAACTTGCATTACTTTCATAGTTTCCTAAACTGGAGATAACACTATTGAACATTTCAAATTCTGATGCCTCTTGAAGTATTACAATACAATATTGTAATAGTTCAAGCACACAAACTCTGTTCTTTCTCAAACTCATTTTTTAACTCATAACCTCCAACAAGTTATACTTATAAGCATATGTAATTGAATGAGGTTTGAGAAATTGACAAATATGAAACAATTAAGAAGTATTAAAACATACCTTATAATGACTGCTCAATGATTGGACATAATCGTATGTCCAAATTGAAGGTTGGAAATATGAAGATTGACGAAGAATTGTTTGACTATTATTAGAAACTATATTTGATGCCATGCATTGAGTTGGACGAGGGACATGGAAGTTCCTTATTGCTACAGATGAAGATTTTATTTGCAGAGGAAGAAGCATTTTAGTGAAGCCAAATGAAAGTGATGAAAGTTGAGGTAGCGCCATTAAGCTAGAAAGTGAAAAGTATATTGGGAAAGTTTTGTTGGATCTGAGTGTGGATTTTGTTATACTAATACGAAACCCAAATCAAGCTTTTATAGTGCCAAGTTCTTCATAATTCAATCATTCATCATTTGGGAGCATTTAATATTTAATATTTAATATTTAATATGGGAAAAAAGTTTCCGATGTTACTTTAGATAATTTTATCTAATGTTCATCGAAGCGACGTCGTTTTGAGGTTAAAAAATTAAAAAATTAGAGTGATAAAGACTATTATAACTTGAAATAAATTAAAATTACAAAAATATCATGATTTTCGTCTCAAAACAACGTCGTTTTGATGAACATTAGATAAAGTTATCTAAAGTAACATCAGAAAAAACAAACCCATTTAATATTGTTCCTGACATTTTTTTTAATCATTTCGATAGAATAATTAATAGTTAACCAGATTTTGGAGAATTTTTAGGATAAACAGATATAAAAAGTAACACTGTAACAATATTTCTCCACGGTACCATTCTTTAAAATCTACACTAATTTTGATTTGATCATATGATGGCGTGATCGTGCTCGTGCCCACAATTACTTTTAATGAGAACTTTTTTTGGCCTATATAAAACTTGGTGGCGTGAGTTGATAAATTGAATGAGTCAAGTGGCCTGATCATATGAGAGCTTTTGTTTGATGCTTTTCGATTCGAATAAGATTAATTGAATAATTGATAAATTACAAAAAAAAGTAAATTAAAAATGGAATAAAAGCATTTTGTAGTTAATCTTTCCTTTTCTATTTCAAGTCTTATATGTAGGTAATTAACCTATAAAATTGTTGCGTTTAATTTGTGGACTAGTCTAACAAATTATTAATTCATTATTAATTAATAATTAGTCACCATAATTAATTAATTATTCTAATTGATGATTTGTCGATAATTTATTAGGCTACTAGACATAATTACACTAATTAAGTGTATACCAGTTTTATTTACAAAAAAAAAAAAAGTGTATACCAGTTTTATGCACATATTTTTCCTAGATATAGGCTACAGTATGAGGATATTATTAGCCAACAAGTTGGCAACTTGTTGAGTGGTTAATTAGAGTTTTTCATATTTCGTAATTGTAGGTTTTTCATGCACTAGAACATTTGATATTATAATACTTCAATAATTCAATTTGTAGGATTAAAACTAGGGAAAAGTGTGTATAATTTTAAAGGAAGTAAAGTTGTGTCATTTTAAGAGAGAGAAAGAGATAGATAAAGGAGGAGAGAGAGTTGACAAAAAAAATAAAGGTGTGGATCCCACCTCTTTGTGAGAGTGAAAGGATGTAAGTTGTGTAATTTTAAATGATAGACATTTTTCCCTTAAAACTAATAGGTTAGGTGTCATGATTTGCCTCTGTCGGCCTCGTTGGCCTGCTTTCATGCAATCTTTCCTGCAAAGGAAAATAACGGTTGCAGACTAATTCATTTGTGTTCTTCGACTAATCGAAATATTATAATTAATTATCATGTCGATAGATATTCTTATTAATCACATGGCGAACCCAGAATTTTTTTTCTAATGTCCGTATATTTAGTGGCGGCTGTCCCGAATTTTTTTTTGTAAAAAAAATTTAAATTAACGATTGAACCCGCTCATAATCTAATTACTTCCATAACAAAGGATGAAGAAATCATGAGAATGAGAAATCATGGGAATGGGTACGCGACAGGGGAGGAAGAATAAGTTTTCTCTCTAATCAATTTATGTTGCTACGTTATTTTAATCATCTCTGTACGTTGCTAACTAATATGAGAATAAATATCATTTTTGGTCTCTAACAAAAAATTTAGTCCCCACTTTAGTCCATTATAAAAAAAAAGAGTCGTTGGTCCCTATGAGATTTAAAGTGAACCTATTTTAGTCTTTTTGAGATTAATGTAGGTCTTTTTTGAATTTGTGAAGGACCACAATTTTAATTAAATTGATCCACTTTAAATTTTTTAGGGACCTCTTCGAGACTAATTTTTGATAAGAGACTAAAATTGAGACCATATTTTTTTGTTAGGGGCTTAAAATAATATTTATTTCTATTATAAATATTGAAACAAGAGACAAAGAATAACTTACATAACTAAAAAAACAAATTAAAAATTCCAAAATCAGTGCGGACATGTGACCCAACGGGGGTCATTCAGTCAATCACATCATATAAATAATTTACACGTGATACATGTTTTAAGGATAAGTGCAACCAAACATAAAATAAAAAATAAAAAAATTATCAAGACCAATCATCCCGAAATTGCTGAAACTGTAATAATGGATAGCTTCTAGTATTATAACCCCGGGTTTAGAGTCTCTGCTTTTAAAAGATGTAAGTAGTGTGTTTACACAAAATCTGACAAGTTATTTATTTATTTATTTTATTTACAAAAAAAAAAAATTTATTTTTTTTACATTTTACACGTCAGTGATAGGAATGGAAAGAGAAAGAGAGAGAAAAAGTAACTTTTCAGATTTACACTAAATATAATCAGTCATACTTTGTGTAAATTACCTAAAAAGACATAAGCTTATGTACTTTAAAATAATATATTTTTCCCTATAACCCCACTTATCAAACTCTTAAATTTATAGCAATTTTAAATATTTTCTAATGTGTTAACTTTAGTCGGCATGAGATGTGAATGTCAGATTTTGACATTTTTTATTTTTAAATAAATTACAAAGATATAAAATTTAAACAATTAATTTTATTTTACCTTAATAGTAATAATAATGATGATAAATAAATTGAATTCTAGACAGAAATGAATTGACAAGTGACGACCCCATTAAGCTTTTTATTTGATTTCCTTGTATAGAGAAACCATACATTTCCAGTGTGTCTACATATATACTTTCGTGTACATAAAAGGGCTCTTGCATAGTTTCCTGATTGTTTGTATGCATGCATATAGTGGCACTAAATTTTAAATTTAAGACTATTCCTAAAGTTGAACTTTTTACGATTATTTTATTACATCTCAATTATTTTCTTTTAGAAACTTTTGTATTACATGAGGTTCATTTAAAAAACGAGGCATACACGGAGCAAACTTATCCTCGAAATAGATAAAGTCTTATCTTTTTGTGTTTAATCAAGTTCTTATTCTTTCAAAGGAATATAATATAAAAATGTAATTTCATAGCTTAAGTTTTTGGATTATATTGCTTCTTTGTATAATACCAGAGTCTTTGTAATTAAGTGGGTTGTCACAAAAGCTCAATCATAAATTAAAAATATTAAATAGTGTAGAACTTTTTAGCTCAAGTAAATGGATTTATACATTATTCACTCTTCAAACTCAATAAACTCTAATATGAGATACCATAATAAAAAAATATACAATAAAACTCTATTAATCTCCTAATAGCTTAAAGTACTTGGGAATGTCCTCTGAAAAGTAGGAATAAATCTTTGGTACTACTGTTGTACTTAGATTCAGTGTATCGCATTAATAAGAACATTACACATCAGAGGAGAGAAAAAAAATTTGATAGAAAAAAAGGAATTTTAACTGACATGTAATATTTTCATTGGTGAGATGCACTGAATTTTTGGTACAGCAGCAGTAGTACCAAAGATTTATTCGAAAAGTACATATCGACATAATTTATGACGATTTAACTCCATTAATCAATAATCAATATTAATCAGTTCACAGTGTTGCATTTTTATTTAATTTAATTTAATTTATCTATTTTTAGTTCTTTGTGCGAGCAGTTATGATTTGAGAATCTTTTGCCCTCCGAAAGTGGAACACAAAGCAAAAAGAAATCAAGCACCCTTGGTTAATTATAATAGTTAATACTATTTTTTCTTTTTTATTCTTTTTGGTAGAAAATTAATATTCAATTAGAGAGGAATGTGAAACCAAAATGTAACACCCCGTGTATACCTGGTTTATTATCATATCATTGTATTAAGCAGCGCTTAGTTAAAATGCGGAACTAACTTTTTACTTTCAATTATGACGTCATTATTATTAACCAAGTTGATTAATTAATCCTTTTTCAAAACATTGACTGTGTGGAAATTGCAATTAAACAACTACTGAAATACCTCATATATAAATAAATGTGTTTCTAGTCACAAAGCTACCAATATCCTGATAATCTATACAACTCCAAGCTAAGACATAAATAACATCAATGTGGCATGGACAACCATCATGCTCACCAAATAAGGCAACAAAGCCTAACAGAGTCTCAAGTCATATAACAATATACTAAAGATAAACATAATCAGTATCCAGACATAACATTTATGGAAGATAACATGCTTTTATGGAAGATAACATGCAGAATTCAAATGGCAGGTTATACGAAGAAACTTATAGCAATAGTGGACCTCCGCGTAGCAAGATATTTTGCCATAACACAACCGCCGGGCAACAGACAACACACATAATGCAAAACCAAGCAGATGATTATGCCGCCCTTCGAATTTGGATCTTACTCCATATGCCCCTCAAGTGGGTGCGAACGGATCTAATATTGGGACCTCAGTCACGATAGCGTGTCATCTTGGCTATTAGCATGCATCTTAAGCACAAGGAAGAATCACTTATCAATAGTATATATCGGTTCTTGCTAAAACTCATCTTTCTTTTTATAACCTTCCAATAAATACCCTAACAATTAACTGAGTATATTGCAAGCTTGCATGTTTTATGTTTTTCAAGGTGCAAGACATCCACTGCATTCATAATTCAATGTTGAAGCAATCACAATTCGGGTAGAAGCACAAAGTCCCCTGACGTCAGAAATGGACTCTTGGGCACCCGTTCAATTCCTACTCGGAAGCGGGAAAACAAAATCCCTTGACGTCAGAAATGGACTATTAGGCACCCGTTCAATTCCTATATGGAAGCGAGAAAACAAAGTCCCTTGCCGCCAAAAGAAGATCGGCCCTCCGTCCGGGATAAAAATGGTTTAGTAAATGAAGATCGGCCCTCCGAGATAAAAATGG